GTTCCTCTCCCGCATCCTCCAGCATGTGTTGTTCACACCCTGATGGCGGCCCTCCTGAGGGGTGTGGGACACAGCTCAGTGTGGTTCTGAGTTGCCTTTCCCTAATTGTTAATGATGCTGAACACTTTCCATGATTTCTTGCCCATTTAAACTACTTCTTTTGAGAAGTGTCTGTTTAGCTCATTTGCCGATTTATTAATTGGGTTATGTGGTGTCAAATTTTTGAGTTCTTTTTAATATTCTAGATATCAATATCTGTCAGAAGAGTAGCTGGCAAAGATTTTATCCCATTCTATGGATTCTCTCTTCACGTTCCTAATTGTTTCCTTTGCTGTGCAGAAGCTGTTTAATTTGGTGCCATCCCATTAATTAACTCCTGAGTTCTAGGGGTCCTGTTGAGAACGTTGTTGTCTGTGCTTAAGACAAGAGAGTGTCGACCCTGTTTTCTTCTAGGAGTTGCACAGTTTCTGGTCTAATTTGGAGGTCTTTTGGTCCACTTTGGGTTGATTTTTGTGCAGGGGGATAATCAGTCTTCCCAGCACCCTTTATTGAAAAGGCTGTCTCTTCTCCAATGTATGCTTTGGGTACCTTTGTAGAAAATCAGATGGCTGCCTTCTATTCTGTTCCATTGGTCTCTGCCAGCACAGGACTTTGTGGGACATTCACTCAGAGCAGAGRATGTGCCCCTGTCTCCTGGGAAGAGTAGGCAGAACAAATCCCAGCATTCTTCCTCATGCCCTGTGCCAAGAGCCACAGCACACACAGTGCCCACTCCAACCACTGGCAAGGGAGTAGGCCTGTGACGGCAACAACCAGAACCCCCACACTGGGACAGAGTTGGGGGGCCCAGTTCCTCTAAAGCAGCATCTCCAGAAAGCCAGGACTGAATGCATCTTCACAGCACAGTACGAATGGCATCTTGAATAGAGTCTTGTTTCTGTTGTATTTTTGTTTATTGCAAATATAGAGAAATGCTATATTGACTTAGAATCACTTTCAAAAATCAAAAGAAACAGCCAAGCATGGTGCACACGCCTGTGATTCCCTGCCCCTCCCCCCAAAAAATCAATAGAAGCACTTTGTCTCGACTGTGCTGTATTTGACAGTTTTGCTGAGCTCCTGTCCTCGTTCCCACATCTGACCAGTTCATCTGGGGCTCCTGTGTGACCCTCGTAGCAGCAGCAAATTCTGTAGCTCTGACTCTCCATTCCCATCCCAGGCTCTGGCTGCTCATCTCCAGCCAGGCCATCAGAACCGTGTTGACAGTGGCACAGCAGGTCCTGGCTGGCTCAGGGTTGTTAGCACTGGGCAACCTTCACAGAGCAGCCAAAAACCTTCATTCAGGAATGGAGTCACGGTTCTAGTGGACCCACTCTCCTGGTGGAGAATGAGCCTCTGAACAAAGGGGGACTGGGCTCGTACAGGTCACGGGTGATTTATTCAGCGGGTCAGTTTGGGCACTCGGGAATTGGGGTTTGGGGGTTGGCGGCCAGCACCTGGAGAGGAGTTATCTTGGAAGAGATGAGTGTTTCTAGAGACTGTCACTCTAGGTTTGAAGGAACACTTCTCCCGGATGGCTCTTAGAAGAGACAAAAGTGGGGCTGGGGATGTGGCTCCAGCGGTAGCGCGCTCGCCTGGCATGCGTGCGGCCAGGGTTCGATCCCCAGCACCACATACCAACAAAGATGTTGTGTCCGCCGATAACTAAAAAATAAATATTAAAATTCTCTCTCTCACTCTCTTTAAAAAAAAAAAAAAAGAAGAGACAAAAGTTATCAATGTTTGCCTTTCTTTTTCAATTCCTTCTCCCAGGCCTCACTAGTTTGGGTTTTTTCATTTTCCATATCTAATAAGTGTGGCAGGGGGCACATGACCCCAGGTGAAACTGCCCCCCAGGCCACGGGTACCCCGAGTTCTCTTAGTAGACGTAGTGGTGGTGATTTATCCTGGCGCCCACACGGACACTACTGGACTGTGCTGAGTTGTTTTAAATTAACTGTAATGTTAAAAGGACATTGACTGAGAAGTTTCACATCTATTTCCATAAGTATTGGTTCTTTTATTTCCTACTACTGTACTTTTCTGGTTCTGGAATCAAGAACTGACTCATGAAGTGTCTCTTCCGTTTTTTTTTTTTTGTTGTTGTTGTTTTTTTTGTTCTTATTAAAGTTGCTCTACTATATTTTATTACTGGATTAAACCCAGGGCCTCATGCATACTACGCAAGTCTTCTACCACTAAGCTGCATTCCCAGTCCCCCTTTAGTTTGAGGCAGGGTCTCGCTAAGTTGTTGAGGCTGGCCTCAAACTTGTGATCCTCCTGCCTCAGCCTTCTGAGTCCCTGGGATTATAGGTGTGCACCATCACACCCAGCCAATTCCTCTATTTTTTGAAACTTCTTGAATGAAAAATTATCTTAAAATATGGAAATTATCTATTCCAGGATGCTTTTTTTTTTTTTTTTTTTTTTTTTAAAGAGAGAGTGAGAGAGAAGAGAGAGAGAGAGAATTTTCAATATCTATTTTCCAGTTCTCGGCGGACACAACATCTCTGTTGGTACGCGGTGCTGAGGATCGAACCCGGGCCGCACGCATGCCAGGCGAGCGCGCCACCGCCCGAGCCACATCCCCAGCCCCTCCAGGATGCTTTTAATATACTTTTAAAATTGGTTCAGAGCTAGAGATTCCTAAATGACATTGGTGTAATCCTGTTCTCTATCACTGCTGCTTTTCTAGTGCTCAGAGCTGCTGGACATGCCTTTTCATGTGGCCTCTGCTGTCTCACATTCTGGCTGGGGCTGTCATCATGCTTCTTTTTAAACTGTCTGGATTTATTTTTTCTTATTGTTGGTCATTTGTAGAGGTCTGTCAGGAGAACCTGCTTTGGGTTGCCCGTTGTCCCTTGTCTCTGTGTCTCCTTGGCTCCTGGGGCTCCTGGGGCTGGGGCTGGGGCTAGGGCTGGTCCAGCCTCACTCCATCAGACCTTCCTTCCTAGGTCCTTCTGTCTCTAGTGCTCTGAGTGAAGGCTTGGCTCAATTGCTCTAACCCTCCTGGCTTTTTGATAAATCCATTCAAAGACCTGGATTTCTCTTCACTTGCTACCTTGGGCAGGACCCACAAATGGCCTATGTTTTACTTCTTGTCATTAGTTTGAAGTATCTCATAATTTTCCTATTATTGGATCCAAGTTGTTCCCTGATGCTCATTCCTTTATGACAACAGAAGTCATGTGACCACCAGAAAAAAAAACAAGGTCCCCCAGAGCCACCCACCAGAATGCTCTGAACCACAGGTCACTGCAGGCTTGAAGGGGTGGACCCAAGCCATAGAGCTCCCAGGGATCCGGACAACCAGCCCCGCCTCAGGAAAGGCTTGTAACCTGGAAGATGTACAGGTGGGCAATGCAGTTCACTGTCGATGAATGGAGTTCAGAAGGATCGAGAGAGGGAGATAGAGAAGATTCATGCACAGGTGAATTCCTGCAGAGATGAACTGAAACAAGAAAACACAAAAAATCATGTCAGGAATTCAGGACACTTGTCAGAAGTAAAAGCAGTCTTTCATCTGCAGTTGGAGAGGAGGGACATGTCCAGCACTGGCTCTGAGAAGCATCCTAAATGAAATTACTGGACTTCCAGGCAAAGGCAGGAATTTGGGCAGATAAGAAAAACAGAGGTCAAGTTGCGTGTAAGGACAAAAGTGAGTCTTTCCTCAGATTTCCCCATGGAAACCCCTGAAGCCAAAGAGGGTGAGAGGAGACCCCTCCCACTAGGCCCCTGCAGGGCAGGCTGCCAGGAGGGAACCTGCCAGGAGTTAGAGCTGTGGAGTCTGAGCCTCCTGAAGGAGGCAGCTGGCACAAATGCCAGCAAGGGAAGAGGTGATGGAAAAGCCATTTAAAGCAAAAGACAGGACCAACGATGAATTTACAACTGAAAGGGAACAGAGCAAGTGTGGATATCAGGAAATATAACCCTGCAGGAAAAGTAAAAAGCCCTGACAGGACACAGGGTGGGCGAGACCTCACCAAGGGGAGCCAGGAGCTGGAGGAAGAGGCACGCAGCTGCCTAGGTGCAGAAGGGTCTCGCTTGTTCACAGAGAGCTGCACACTGAGGAGGCCTTTTCATGGACAGGAAGGGAACAGACCGGCACTGCAGACCCTGGAGGAAGAGCGTGCCCTTGGGCAGAGCAGCAAGTGTGGCTCCAGGTGGCATGTGGGCCCCTGTGATGTGCTGCAGGGACGCAGGGAGGCCCTGGGGCTGCAGCAGAGGCTGGACAGGAAGGGATGGCAGCAGGCACAGGTAGGGCTGGGTCAAGCTGTCCAGGGTGGAGGCAACTCCCTTGGGCCAGGCCCAGACCCTCCAGTGGTCAGAGCAGGTGGGGGACATTCTGACCACGCCAGAGACCAGAAGGGGCAGACAGGGAGGGGGACTCTGGAGCCCCTTCCTCAGTCACAACTGTTCCTGTGCTTAGGGGGAGCCAAACTGGGGGTTGGGCTGGGTAAAGGCCTTCTCTGGCCAAAGACAGGGCCCTCCAGTCCAGGACAGACTGACCGTCCTGCCTTGCCTTCTGCAGAGACCTCGGCACCTCTTTGAGCCACCTGCAGGTGCTGTGGCTAGCTCGCTGTGGCCTGACAGACCTGGATGGCATTGGGTCCTTCCCCGTGCTAAAGGTGGGTCTGCAGCATCTGGGGTAGGGTTGGGCCTGGGTCAGACCCAGCTGAAGTCCCCACGCCAACCCAGGAACTCTACGTCTCCTACAATGACATCTCGGACCTGAGCCCGCTGTGCCTGCTGGAGCAGCTGGAGGTGCTGGACCTGGAAGGCAACAGCGTGGAGGACCTGGGGCAGGTGTGCAGCCTGCGGCTGTGCCCGCAGCTCACCACACTCACCCTGGAGGGCAACCCGGTGTGCCTGCAGCCAGCCCCTGGACACTCCAACAAGGTGTGCGTGCTGGGAGGGGCCCACGGGCCAAGGGCCTCTGTGTCCACTGCATCCCAGGGCTTCTTTACCATGAGCTCCACCTTTTCTATCACTGGAGGCCTGAGTGCGGCCAGGCTACCTCCTGAGCCATTCCACCAGACCCCACGAGGATCACACGTGCATGTGCCGTGCCACCCAACCCATGCCCACAGCCTGTGGGGTACGTACACAGGTCACAAGGAGCCACCCAGACCACTGCCCCCCACAGGCCCACCTGAGCCTGCCACATACACACCACAGGCCTGGGGAGCACTGGACCCTTAGGCCCTGACCCCATCCTGCCTATCCCAACGACTGCCACGTGATGGTGCTACTGGCTGGGACCAGAATCCAGCCAGTGCACAGTGGCTGCTCAACTGAATCGCAAACCTGAGCCCAGCGCAGCTTGGTGGGCCAGAAAGCATTGCTGGACTCTGGCATGGGTCTGGAGAGTGAAGTCTCGTCCTGGATAGGCAAGAACTCAGTCCCTGTTGTCCCTAGGGTCCAGCAGGGTCACCCTGCCCCCTCCGTCCTGCCCCACAGGGATCTGGGGCTCTAGGACACAAGTGGCCTAAAGGGCCTATGGACCCACGCCTGAGGTCCCCTCCCTCTATACTGTAGGCACCCCAGGATTACAACTACAGGGTGGAGGTGAGGAAGCTCATCCCCCAGCTACAGGTGCTAGATGAGGTGTCCACCATGCACACTGACCTGCCTGCCACCCAGGAGCTGAGCCAGGACTGGCTCATAGTGAAGGAGGCCATCAAGGAAGGCCGAGTGCTGGACAGTTTCCTCCCCCGACAAGGTAGAGCAGATACCCCCTGGAAACCTTGCCCTGTGCCGCAGTACCCCACTCCAGGAGAGGCCTCCCCTAGACCCCAGGCCTCTCAGAGGTGGACAGCTACACCTTGTGCCCTCCCCCAGCCTTAACCCCTGGCCCCCAGCACATGCACATGGGCCTCCAGGCCAGGATGCTGTCCCTTTGGTCAACACCAGCAGGCCTCTCTATTTATCAGAGAGGGAGGAGGGTCTGAGTTTGAAGGAAGGGACCATCAGAGGCCAGCCTTAGGGCTTAGAGATTCTTAGGGGTGAGAGCTGTGTTCTGTGGGCTGGGGCTGGCCAGCTGGCATGGGCCCTAGTGACCTCTGTTTCTGACCTCGGGCAGATGTTTCCCATGGAGCCATTATCCAGAGACTTGATCCAGCATTCTCCCTACCTGAGACCCAGCCCTGGGCCCTGTCCCTGCTGGTCCCTGGGGGCGTCCTGCCTGAACGCCTGCTTCCCAAGGACATGGCCCCAGAAGACCACACCAGCAACCTCACTCATGGTACCTGACCTACCTTGGCCTGACCCCACATCCCCCTGATCCCAAAGCAGACCCATCACATGCCCTCTCCTCCAGGTGCCGGCCAAGTCCTCTGCGGGAACCCCACCAAAGGCCTGTGGGAACGTAGGCGTCAGAACCAGGTACACCTTCCACCCTTAAAAGTGGGTGGGGACCGTCCCACCATGTAGCAGCATCCAGAGTCCGTCCCCCACACAATGGACCATCACACAGAGCCCCTCCTGCACTTCCTGGTGTGTAATATCCCTGGCTACTGCCAGTCCTAGGCCAGGGTTCCCAAACCAGCTCTTTTCTTCCTCAGGACTGGGCACCCTTGGAACAGCTACCTCCATTCAAGTCACATCTGGCCACCAGCCCCTCCACCCCAGGGCCTGGCCCTGCAGACACCTGTGACCTCCTAACCATGGTGGGGCTTCAGGCCTGGAGGGAGCTTGGCCTGTGGTAAGTGCTCCTCCCCTGCCCAGTCCTCTCAACTGTGCACCCTTTCTGTTGTGGGGGCTTGGGCTTGGGCTTGGGCCTGGGCYTGGGCTTGGGCCTGGGCTTGGATGCCTTGACTGTGCAGTCACTGGACCCCAGATGATCTGAGTTGGTCACAGAACCCATCTGGAATTGGGCCCAAGAGGGGCTGTAGCTTCCCTCTCTCCCTCCCTCAGTCCCCGGCCCCACAGGCAGACGGAGTCCCAGCAGGAAGGGGCTCCAGCCCCCCAGGACCCATGGAGGGCCCCTGAAGAGCAAGAGGACCAGATTGGACCCAAGACTGTCCCTAGTCCCATGAGCCTGGCCTCAGGTACTTTCCCCACAGGTGGGTGATCCACTTGTCAGGTGCTGCCCACCTGGGGACAGGAGCCCCAAACCTCAGGATCAGCCTGTGTAGGTATGGCCCATTCCTCAGCTGGGCTCTGGGAGGCCACTGGACCTCAAGGCTKCCTGGGCTGGATGAGAGAAAGTCCTTCCGTAAGGGGTGTGGACCAAGTCCAAAGGAGTCCCCACCAAAGAAGGAGGCATACTAGGTGGGGACACAGATGAGCCAGGGCCATCTACAAGCAGATGTGCCACTGGACATGCCCAGTTCTCATGGCCGGCAGTGGGAGAGAGGCCCCCAGGCCCTGTGGGAGACCAAGGCAGGGAARGACCCCCACCTCACCCCAGACAGGACCCACGCTGGGCTGAGGACATGCCGAGTCGAGCCAGGCAGTGCTCTGGCAGAGGGACCCTGGATTCAGAGTGCCCAAGACCAAGGCAGAAAGGCCCTAAACCCACATCAGCAGGCAGACCTAAGGAGGGACAGGCAGGGGCAACAGGAGCAGAGACTTAAAAGTCAGCAGAGCAACTCTCAGGGTTGGGGACAGGCTGCCCTCCATGGGCTGGGGTTGATACCCAGGCAGGGTGCCTGAGATAGCCAGGAGGGAACCACAGCTGACCACCCAGTGGACAAGGACGGCAGGGCTTTAAGGAAGGCAAGCAGGGTGGCCAGAAGGAAGGGTAGCTGGAGTATGAAGTAGAGGCAATATGGGACAGTGCCAGGTCCAGGTGGGCACTGGGTGACCCTTGACACCTGCCTCACGCTACAACAGAAGATTAGGAACTGGCCTGAGGTCATTAGCCTGTGAGCCGAGCCTCAGGAATTAGACCCAGATGACCCAAAGCCAGAGTCCAGGCTTTGTGGCCTCTGTGCCTGCCTTAGAGGCTGGTCTAAGCAAGGGCTGGGGGACAGAGCTTCCCTGAGGAGCACAGGAAATAGGGCAGGAGGGGTGGCATGGGAGGAGGGGTGCTGCCGCCTGCGGGGGCCACGGTGGGCATTGCAGCCTGTGGTGCCACCTCCCCCAGCAGGCCACCACCTACCTACCTCTAGACTGCAGGACCACAGACAGGTTAGCCTACTTATCTGACAGGGCCTCGCTGACATGCTGCCTTGTTTCTGGCTTTCTAGAGCATTCCAGAACCGTGGGCTTTCACCTGATCCCTTCTGCTCCCAAGTGCCCAATGCCACCTGACTCTGGAAGCAGCTCCCCCAGGGGCTCTGCAGTCCTGTCTTTCAGAGGGCGAAGGCTCAGAGCACTGGACAGCCTGTGTGGGAGCCCTGGAGGTAACCTCAGGCCTCAGTGCTTGAGCCCAGGGGTACCCAGACCCAAAGCCAACAGGAGACCCAGCAGCCAGACATCCAGGCCTCTGCTGCCTGCTCCACCTGAACTCTATCACCCCCACCCACTCCCTCCCTTAGTGTAAGCCCCCACCAACTGCCAGGTTCACCGGGACTGGGGCCAAGGGGTGCCAGTGAGGTCATGGGAGCCCCAGAAGGACTCTGTCTTCAYAGACCCTGGAGCAACTAGGCAGGTGTGGGGCTGGAGGGTGGGTTTGGCCCTGAAGAGGCCCCTTTTGGTGCAGAGGAACCTGAAGTTGGGACCAGTCAGCAGGTATCAGAGGCCAGAACAGACATTAGGTCCAGGTAGGGAGAGCCCAAGCTCCCCACCACTGCTCAGCTGCCCACCCTTCCATGGGGCCTAGCCTTCCCAGGAGAAATGGTCAAAGGGGCAGGCCTGGTAAGAGGCAGACTGGGCTCGGTGGCAGGACCTGGAGCTGGGCTCTCCAGGAGCCTCAGGGCTGCGAACCACTCTCTCCACTGATGCAGCCCAGGGTCCTACCTGCTTGCCCTAGGCTGCCATGGGCAAAGCCAGGCCTCCCATCCCTGGTGGATTTGTGGGGTTTCCCTTGAGAAGCTGGGAGGTGCAGGTCCCTCCTCTGGGGGCAGGATGCCCCAAAAAACAAGAGAATCATTTTCGACTTTCAGGTTTACAGAAACGCAGTTTACTTTGTAGGCAACATTGGTTCAATAAATTATGCAGCTGGCACTGCTGCCTGGCCCTGCTGCCTTACACCCGTCGGCATGTGTCCACAGTGATGGGGGGACAGCTGAGGAAACGGAAGCCATATCTACTCTCAGCTGTGCTCTGCACTGAGAGGGTCACCATGGGGCAGCTTCGGTCCACATTTTTCCGGCACACCTGGGGAGCATCAGGGCCTGAAAGCTGTGGGTGGAGGTGTGGGTGGGGAGGGATAGCTGGCATGCCAGTGGGAACCAGTGTCTGCCAGGGACAGCAGGGCACGCACTCACCCGGACCTTGCACTCCTTCCTGGTGGGGCAGTCCTGGGGACACAGCCCAGCCTCTGTTTGGGACAATGGCTATGGGGTCAGCCCAACCCACCCGCTGCCCACTCACCCCTCCCTCTGGGCTTGCTCACCAGGGATAATGGGAGGCAGGAGCTCCAGAGTCTCAGAGTGGCTGTCCTCTGGCCTCGTGGGCACYTCTGGCAGGTGGAAAGGCCGACAGGTGCTTAGGAGTGGCAAGATATCCCGCATCCTGGGAGGCAAGGGGGTGTGAGGCCACAGCCTGCCAGGAAGAGGCTCATTAGAGGGATTCCAAACCTGGGGAGGTACAGGGGCTTGCAGGGGTGTGCAGGGGTCCTGGGTGGGGGCTGGTGAGGTAGGTGTTGATCATGGAGAGGACTAGTCCAGGAAGTGGTTCTAGTGGAGGCCAGGCCTAGAAGGCAGAAGGTGGGGTGGGGGTCTCCTGAAGGGGGTCGCGATGGGTCTTGCTGGGACAGGATGGAGGGACTCTCGCGGTGCCCACCCAGGCCTCCGCCGCCGGGCGCCGGTCTCCCGCACCCGGCTTTTCCCCGGGGGTTGGGGCCGGCTCTGGGGTCCACTTGTGCCGGGGCAAGGCCGGGCCTTCGAGAGTGGGAAGCGGTCAATGGACCAGTCAGTGTTGTCAGTGAAGATCCTTGAGCCTGAAGTCACACGGTGTGGAGTCTGGTGCTCACTGAGGACCTGCGGGGCCAGCAGGGGCAGCTCTGTCACCCTCACCCGCCAGGGCCCACCCGAGCCCCTCCTGGGCCTGGGCCGGCACGGACCTGGCCCTCGGGATTCAGGAGGAGCGTCAAGCAGCCCAGGCTGGAGTGGAACAGGCCAGCGTCCTGGCCCAAGGACAAGGGCAGCTGCTTCTTGGTGCTGCTGGTCCCCTGGCCCCACACCTGGGAATGGCAGAGGGCACTGGTTGAGGGGCGCCGCAGGCAATGACAGGGTCAGGTGGGCTCACGGACAGAAGGGCCCACCGTGATGTGGTGCTGCGGCGCCAGCAGTGTGCCCGGCGGGAAGCGGTACAGGCACACSGGGAAGCCGCGCTCCAGCTGCTGCAGCAAGAAGCCGTCCAGGTCCACTGTCTGTTCCAGCGACTCATTAAGGACGCGGACGAACTTCTCTCGTGGGCTGACTGCCACGATCTTCAGGCAGCAGCCAGTGGGGCTGGGGCGGGGAGGGGTGCAGGGCAGGGCCTGATGAACGGGCTCCGCCCACCTGGACAGCTGCCCAGAAGTCCTGGCTGGGCGTCCCCCTCACCTCAGCTGGTGACTGACGCGCCGGTGGTCAGGGGCTGTGCAGGGATCCTTGGGAGTCTTGCTGGGCGGTTGTGAGTGGGTTTTCAGGAGATCTAGGGAAAGGAGCCCTTTGGGGGAGGGAAGCCCTCACACGGGTGGTCCCATGGGGATGTGAGGCCAGACCAGGCCTACAGCAGGCGGGGTCCAAGAGGGAAGGGAGCAGCACCAGAGGTCAGATCCCTGGCAGGGGAGATGGCTGGACCCTAGGGACTAAAGGACCTGGTTTAGGGATCTGGAGGAAGATGGGAGAGGGATATAGGAGGATGAGAAAGAGATGCACCCCACTCCACCTTCCGAATCTCCGCCAAAGCTCCAAGCCATTGTGGGGATCTGCTCTGAAGATGCCAAATCTTCTGTCTGGGGCGGGTACCCTGAGGCCTTCTGCACTCCAGAAGGCACGACTGGCTGGCAGCTGCTGGAGTCAGAGCCAGCACCTCCGGAGCTGCTGGTGGCCATGCAGGGCAGGGAGCTCCACTCCAGGTTCTTGGGATGTTTCTCCAGGTGCTCGACAGAGGAATCTGAGCCCCCTCTTTCCAGTGATGGGGACTGCTGGGGCTGCCTGAGGCCATGCTCTGGTCAGTGGATGCTCTGGCTCCCAGGCACCGGCTCTACCCTTTTCCGGCCTCCCAAAGCAGCAGGCAATTCAGCTGGTGCTCTGGGTGCCCAGGACCCAGATCCAGCTCATGACAGGCAGTGATGACCCAGGAGCCCCTTCCCTTCATCCCTAGTTAACTCTAAGATCAGAGCTGAGGCTTGGAGGGATTACATGATTTGTCTGGGGACACCAAAGGTCCATTTCTGCCAAGACCACCCCCCATTTCCCCTGGCCCCTGGGGAGTTGGGCCCAGTGCAGTTACTTCTGCTTTGTGCTGGAATCACTGAAGAGACTGGGGTACCGGAGGGCGATGCTGTGCCAGTCCATATCCTCCAACCGGAAACCCTGGTCAGAAAGTAAAAGCTTGAGGCTTTGCCCTCCTGCTGGGCTCCAGAATCCTGGTCAGGCATGTGGAGTCTTCACATGGGGGGTCTTGCTCACCTCTCCAGCAGTGAAGTCACTGAAATCCCTTAAAGTCTCTGCAGTAACCACCTGCAGGAAGGGACCACAGAGACTGAGGATTAGCTAAGCGGTAAAGCACTTGCCTAGAATGCACCAATCTGGATTCAATTCCCAGCACCCATCCCCCAAATGAAATGAGGAGCTGGGGGAAATCACCCCTTCCACACAGTACTCCTCCCTCTTTGACCTCACCAGGGCAGGTTTGGTGGGAAAAACTGCAAGCCACATGATTCTTCCCTGCAGAAGTAGCCTGAAAGGGGCAGGCTTTCAAGGCAAGCCAGAAGCACCAGCAGAGGCACCTGCCTGAAAGAGCCATACTGGCCACCCTAGGAAGTTCCAGGGACGGCTTGTGGGCCTTGGGCACTGGCTCACCTCCACACTGCCAGTTTGGGACCGGAGTACAGGACCCACCCAGGAGGAGCAGGCCAACTGCAGGAGGCAGGACTTCTGGAAGGCCTGCAGCTGGGCTTCTAGTTGCTGCAGCATGCTGACAGTCTGCATCAGCTGCTCCTCTAAGTGCTCCTTCTCCTGCTCAGGAGCCACCAGGTTAGGGGCCTCTTGCAGCCCAGCCCCCCCAGACCATGCCCTGCCTACTTCCTGACCCCACCCCCTCACCAGCTGGGCCTGTTCCTTCTGTGCTTTCAGCTCCTGGGTCAGCTTCTCCACCTGTTCCTGTAGAAACTTGTCTGGACTGTGGAAGCTCCTGGAGGAGGGGCAACTTCAGTAGCCCCACCTCTGGGTCAGCTGGGGTGAGGTCAGGTGAGCAGCAAATTAGGGGTCCCACCGCCATCATACGGAGGGCACACAGTGCAGCCAGCCAGAGCAGGGTAGGTAAGTCCTGACCCATCTGGACAGGGGTCAATGGCTCAAGATTAGGGTTGTTAAATTTATAGGACAGGGCTGGGGATGTGGCTCAAGCGGTAGCGCGCTCGCCTGGCATGCGTGCGGCCTGGGTTCGATCCTCAGCACCACATACAAAGATGTTGTGCCCGCCGATCGATAACTAAAAAATAAATATTAAAATTCTCTCTCTCTCTCTCTCTAAAAAAAAAAAAAGAATTAAAAAAAAATGTTTATAGGACAGTAACATTCAGGGTTTGGGTGGAGCATCAGCTAGGAAAGGACTAGGGCCAGAGGCAAAGGTCCAGGTAAGAGTTGAAGTAGTGGTTGGAATTGGTGTAGGACAGAAACCAGGAATTAGGATGGGACAGAAGTTGGGTTGGGCTGGTGGCTTTGCTGCTGACCTCTCAGATGGAAGTCCTGACACCTCCTGCAGGATGTGACAGTGTCGGGCATGTGGCCCATTTCGGATGGCCCACCTAAGCGCTTGGATCTCTAGTTCTCGCTGCTCCCACAGCAGCCGCAAGGTGCGGGGGTCCAGTGCTTCGGGGGCTAACCTGTAGTGCCAGTACCCCTGTTGATCAGGCCTGGCCCTCTCGTTGTTCCTGCCCAGAAAACTGGCCATCCCTCCCTTCCTCCTTACTGCAGGTGGACAGAGGCCAACCGTGTGGAGTGGGTCTTGGTGTTCTGGGGGCATGGGGGAACCACTGTGTCTGTAGGTGTGCCAGTTGGAAGCCCCAAATCACTGCTGACTGGCTTTCCATCTGCTGGGGTTCGTGGCTCCTGCTTTTCTTCAGATTGCTGGCCAGACTCCGGGGCCATTCTTGATGTTTCTCAGGAGCTGGGAGAGGTAATAGCTTGTGTCCAGGTGTGCACCCTATAGGGCTCTCCAGCACTGCTGGTTCATAGATGTTCACACTCTGAGGAGGCTATGTGTGTCTACCCCACAGAATGAGGAACTGCTAGTCGTGTGGGTATCCTAATATGTGTTTCAGGCCAGGGAGCAGGTCACTCCCAGACAACGTTTCCACATTCCCTGTTCCTCCCGTTTCCCTTGCCTAGAGCAAGAGTCAAAGGTTCTGGTCCTTTGCCTGTGACCCTCAGTTGTGTCCCCAACCATGAGCCTCGTGCCCAGCACTCACCTGAGGCCTGGGCTCCTAGCAGGCCTGGGGAGAGAGGATTCTCTACTGTTGCCATGGATACTGGCACTCAGAAGGGAGGGGCTGTTACCAGGAACCTCCAGGGAGAACCAGGTCTAAGGCCTCCATTGAGTTCTGGGCTGGTCAACCTGGGGAATGTGAAAGGCTAAGCTGGGCAGGCCTGGGGGACCACATAGGACCCCCGCAGCCCCTCCCTAGCTGGTGGTGACTAGTGAGTAGTGGGGACTCTGGTGCCCTGGGGGGAGACCAGTCTGGGTGTGATATATCCCGCTGACTTGGAGGTGAAGGAGTTGAGGATGGGGGATGAAAAGCCAGAGGAGGGGCTGTGACAGAACTCTAGCCTGCAGAGGTACACCTCCCTCCAGCCTCTGACACTTCCCTAACTCCCAAGCTGGAAGCCTCCGCTTCGCAAGCATCTACACACACACACACCCCGTCCCGCAGGACAAGTCAGGCCCAGGGCTGGGGCACCCATCACTAGTACCTTCAACCTTCCCTCCGGTGGGGCCTCCCCTGCTGAGCAAGGAAGGGAAAGGTAAAGCCCCCACGCAGCGACTGTCTGACTGGGGCAGAGTGGGTGGCCACGAGGTGGAGTTGCCCAGGCCAACACCTGGCATGGGTTCACCCAGCGGGACAGCAAGGGAGCCATGGAAGAGCGGCTTCGAGCCTGCTTAACTGTGGGGGGAAGGCCTGGGCGCCCACAGCTCAGGAGGGCAGTGGGCCTCACTGCGGCCGGCCGGAGAGGAGGCTCAAACAAAGAGACCCCAGCCTTTGTCCCAGGCGGCCTCAGGGCGGCCTCCTCCCGCACCAGAGCTAAAAAGCCCACCCGTCTGTCTTGCCCTCGGGTCTCCACCTCGTTCCCGCGCGGGCTCACCCTCCCGTAACTCCAAATCCCAGGAGCCACCGGCCCCAAGGGAGCACGGTCGGAGTGGCCCAAACCCCTTGAGGAGAGTCAAGGAAGGAAGGAGTGGCTCCGGCCCTTCTGCCCGGGGGCGCCTTCCAAAGCTGTGCGACCCCAGGCCGGCGCCGCTCCCGGGAAGAGAACCTGCTACACCAGGAGGCCGAGGAGGAAGTCGGTCCGGGAGCTGGGCCTCACACCTGCCCCGACGGACCGCCCTCGGATCCCGGCGGCAGACGCGCTTCCGCGTGGTTTGTGGGGCAGGGTGCGGGAGCGCCGGGGTACCACCTCTCGCCCCGCCCACACCTGGGCGCCGCTGGGGCCGTGAGCCAATAGGGCGGGACGGGCGGAGGCAGCCAATAGGAGTGGGCGCGGGGCGGGAGGCACGCGCCGCGGAGCTAATGGGGGCACGGCGGGGCGGGGCGTTCGGGCTGCGAGCCCCTGAAGCGGTGGGGCCGGGGCGCGCCGCGGCGCTGGGGCTGCAGGTTGCGGCGGCGCCCAACTACCAAGATCCCCGAGGCCGGCGAGCGCCCAGGTGAGCTCGCTGGGTTCCCGAGCCTCCCCTTGGCCCCGGACCGGCCGAGGCGTCGGCTCTGGCTGAGGAGTTTTCCGCGGGCTTGGGGAGAGGACTTGAGAGCGCTGCGACGCACCTGCACCCACCCGCTTCGGAGCGCGGATGACGGGTTCCAGCGCGGCCGGCGCTCGCAGCAGGGGCGGGGCCTCCGGGGGAGCGTGCGGGCTGGGCCAGAGGGGCTGCTGGGGGAGTCCTGGGGGGCGGTGGGACCGAGGCCGAGTCTGGGTCACGGTTCTCAGCCTCTCTGGGCCCCGGGACGGCCCCTTCCGTGGGGAGGCGTTCCCATGGTAGCTGACGGCGTTATGTGTGCGTGGGGGCGCTCTTGGGTGCCTGGGGACCACCGCGGGAGGGAAGGGGCAGTGTCCTCTGAGCCAGGTGACGGGGGACAGGAAATCCTGGACCTGGTTAATGATTCGCCTCGTTCCGGGAGTGGGGGCGGGGCACGAGGATACTTGGGAAGTGGGGATGTATTGAAGTGCTCACTAGAGCCAAACTAGTTCCCCCAGCCACCCTAGGAATGCGAGGCCTGAGGGTGGGGCTGGGTACAGAAGAGCCTGGCCCTACACCAAGGGGCCACAGCTCTGAGCCAGTTATAGTGAAAGGCCAGGAGGAGGAGAGGCGGTCCAGGCTGTGGTCAGGCAGGACCTGATCCTGTGTTCTTCCTACAGGACAGGGATGTTCTTCGGGCTAGCAGCCATGGAACTGAAGGTGTGGGTGGATGGCATCCAGAGGGTGGTCTGTGGGGTCTCAGAACAGACCACCTGCCAGGAAGTGGTCATCGCACTAGCCCAAGCAATTGGTGAGTCTTCTGGGGGCAAACAGCCCAAAAGGTGGGACTGGGCTGGAGCCGGTGGACCAGCCCCATTTCCCCCTGAAGAAGGGTGGGGTTGGCTCTTGTTTCCTCTTGTCCTGCCCCAGTTCCTCAAGCCAGGTTGACAGAGGCTAGGGAGACAGACTGACCCTCCCCTTTCCTCCCAGGCCAGACAGGCCGCTTTGTGCTTGTGCAGCGGCTTAGGGAGAAGGAACGGCAGCTGCTGCCACAGGAGTGTCCAGTGGGTGCCCAGGCCACCTGTGGACAATTTGCCAGCGATGTCCAGTTTGTTCTGAGGAGGACAGGGCCCAGCCTGGCTGAGAGGCCCTCCTCAGACAGCTGTCCACCCCCAGAGCGATGCCCAGTTCGTGCCAGCCTCCCCCCAAAGCCACGGACAACACCAGGTCGTGAACCCCACAAAGCACTAACCTTTGGCCCGGGGTGCCCCAGACTGGCCCCTCGTCCTTCGTCCCCTGAGCCTGCAGTCCCTGTAGCACCCACATCAGGCTGCTTCACAGACCTTCAGGGCCTGGAGCTCAGGGTACAGAGGAATGCTGAAGAGCTGGGCCATGAAGCCTTCTGGGAGCAGGAGCTGCGGAGGGAACAAGCCCGGGAACGAGAGGGCCAGGCTCGCCTTCAGGCACTGAGTGCAGCCACTGCTGAGCATGCTGCCCAGCTACAGGCTCTGGATGCTCAGGCCCGTGCCCTGGAGGTTGAGCTGCGGTTGGCTGCAGAGGCCCCTGGGCCCCCATTGGCCACAGCATCTGCAACTGAACGCCTGCGCCAGGACCTGGCCATTCAGGAACRGCAGAGTGTGGAGGTGCAGGGCAGCCTGGCCCTGGTGAGCCGTGCTTTGGAGGCTGCGGAGCATGCTCTGCAGGTGAGCCTAGGAGTCCCTGGCCCCTGTCATTTCCCCACCCCCAAATGTGTGGACTTGAGGGTCTGGCATCAGTCAGACTAGAAAGGGTAGTCTCTGTGGGGGCACCAGAGTTATGCCCCCTGAGGATCCTTGTCCCCCCAGGCCCAGGCCCAGGAGCTGGAGGAGCTGAACCGGGAGCTCCGGCAGTGTAACCTGCAGCAGTTCATCCAGCAGACGGGGGCTGCACTGCCACTACCCCCAGATAGAGGTCCCTCTGGCACACAGGTCAGAGCAGTTCTAAAAGAGGCTGGGCAGTGGGGTCCACCCCACCTCCCAACTGACCTGATTTCTCCACAGAATCTTCTGTGTCCAACCAGAGAGGAGCACCTCCAGGGAGCAACCCAGGGCCCTGTCCTAGTGCCCAGCCTGAGTCCTGAGGGTATGTCTATTCCCCACTCTGGCAGGATGGGCYCTCCCCTGGTCTCAGCCTCCTCAGCCATTATCCTCCCACAGTTGTCCCCATGAGACAGAGTTCCTGGAGGTAACAGCCCCTGTCCCAGAGTGGTGCCTGCTGAGGACAAGCCAGATCAGCCAGCACAAGCCATTGGACAACAAGAGTCTGTGGTCACAGAAGATTCCTTCCCCATGGAGGGGGAAGCCCCAGTGTCCCAGGGTTTCTACTATGAGGGACGGGACGGAAGTGCTAGGGATGGGTTGTCCTTGTCTTTGCCAAGTCTGCCAGGCCCCCTGGAGAAACTGGCAAGAAGTGGCCAGGCCCCAGAGTCCATTACTACTTGTTGAGGTTGGGAGATGTGTGTGGATGATGTGTTCGGCTTGTAGATGTGTGCTGCCAAAGGCAGTGTCCTTCACAATGGGTGTGCATGGCCTCCCCACCCTGACGCTTAGACCTCAATAAACTGCCCAAAGTGGCCTGATTTTGTCCCGAAGCTCTGTTGGATCATGTCTGTGGGGTCTAGAACTTGAGGTGCAGACAGGAGCCATTACAGAAGATGCCACGCTACCTGGATAAAGTGCTTCAGGACCAAAGCTCAATAGGTTTCAAGGCTGGGGCTCCTGGGGCCCACATTCTGACTGCTTTGCCCTGCCTGCCCCTGAGAACCTTTGTGATTCCATGCCCGATGGAGCTTGCTGGCTCAGCCCTGGCCTGGGTTTCTGTCTGGATCCCTCTTCCACCTGGCTGCCACCAGTAGTAGGAACCCATGATGTAAGGATGTGTCAGACCTGCCTGTCAAGTTTACTGCCTCCTGGAGAACCCGTGGAGGAAGGTCCAGGACTCCTGGATTGGCCAGAGGAACTTAGCCAGCCCCAGGGAGGGTGTGGGCATTACATGGACAAGGCTTGTCCCGCTCCCAGGGTGGGCTTGAAGCTTCTGCTGTGAGTCTGTGGCTATAAAATTAGGGAAGGGCAGATTCTATAACCCAGCTGCGGCCTAGGTCCTCGGGCTGTAGCCTCTCCCAGAGTCCTGGTCCTCGGGAGTGTGGCACACTCCCAGTTCCCAGGGCTGTGTTTGGGGTTGGAGATATTTGTGATAAGCAGAACTTGAGGGTGTCATGCAGGAAGCCTTGGGTAGTACTGGGGAATGGGATGGGGATACTGGCTGACAGGAGTCTTTTGCTGGATCTGATGGGAGGACATGTTTGGATAGACTCAGCTTTCTCCTGGGGTGGCTTCTGAGCTGGGTCCAGTGCTCCCCATTTCCTCTAAGGCAGACTGCAGGGGACATGGAAGTCTTGAGCTGGAGTAACAAATAAGGCACTCAGGGCCTTACAGAGGTCAGGGCCACCAGAAGCCCACTGATGTGGGGAGCAAGTGGGACTGGGTATTACCTGCCAGAGGCAGGGAGCTGGGAATTGGAAGGCTCCCAACCTGGTGTCAGCAGGCCAGAATCCCCAGCCTACTGCTCCTATCTGCTCTCCCACCTGAGCCTGCTGCTGCCTGACCTGTGGGACCAAACACAGGGTCCCAGCGGGTGATGCCCAGAGTGCAAAGGTCACTCTAGCTGCAGCCTGGGACCTGCTACCCACCCACCCCCCAGCCCCCTGCAAACACGCATACACTCGGGACGGTTGCATGCACTTCCGGGTATCAGTCTGAAGCCATCATGGTTCATCTCCCAAACTAACCCCACAGACCAACAGGAGGGAAGGCCAGGTGTCAACCAGAGACCACCCCATACACAGGGAGCTGGGGGTGGGGGGCTAGGTCATGTTCTCCCATGTCTAAGCTGTGTACCCTAGCCCTGAGGGGAAGCAGGCACAAAGCCGGTGTACACCATCAGTTTCCGGTACTCTTCCAAGGACACCTGTCTTTCCTGAAGTTATTATCAGGCCCTGTCCATTGCCTGCAGCTCCTGGCCCTATAAAAGCTGCTAACTCCTCGAAACTACCAGACAGGTGCTGTGCTCTGGGATGGGGAAATGGGTTTAGCCCCCTTCCTTGGTGGCTATTCCAGGTGGACCAAACCCTACACTCCAAAACAGTTGTCTGAGTGCTTCAGATCACTAAGCAAAACTTTTTGAGTTGCTGAAAAGTTTAGTTTTGAGTTTCAAACTTTTACTTTGAAGACAATGCTAAAGTGAAGAAGGGTCAAGCTCCCTACAAGTATCCATTCCGGGCAGGGCAAGATCCACACCAGCAGAGGCAGGCACCCACCAGGTGTCCCTGTAGAATAGACAGTCAAGACCATGCTCATGCCTGGGCAGTCTGGCAGGAGGGCAGAGCCAGGCCTTACTGGCCTCAGGGTTCCTGCTTACCCCCAGACCAGAAGTGGCCCCTGGCTACTGAGGGTCATGGTAGTATTGACTCCTGGCTCAGTGAAGAGGTAAGTGGCTGCATGGTAATAAGTCAGCTCTGCAGTTTCCTGGCCCAAGATCATAGAGCCTCCTTTCACCTCCTCAGACTTCAAGGCATGGCACCACACTGGGAGCAGCACAGTGCCCTCCAAAGCCAATCACAGTCTGTGAGGTCTGGACCAAGCCTACTCCTCCTTCTCTGGTGACCTGGCTCCAGCCATAGCCATCAACCATCACGGCCCCCAGAGGAAAGGACAGCTGTCCAGACCAGGTGCTCTAGACACTCCTCAGCCAGATTTTCAGGGTGGATTGAGCATACCCAGCAGAGAGGGACTCTCTGAGGGGCTGGTCCCTGGGCCCCACAAAGAAGTCCACAGTCCTGATTGCCTCACTGAAATGGCAGAAATTTGCAGAAGAATCAAAGCTGCACTCCCTTTCCATAGGAAGTCCCCAGAGGCAGTTCCTGTAGGCCTGGGTCCTGTGGGCCGAGGATCACAACCCCCCTGCTGCCCAGCTTGATGAAGGCTCCTGGGAACTCAGCATAGCGTGGTACCCTGGGACACAAGAAGAAGAAAGTTCCCTCCAAGAGGGTATCTGGCCCCATCTTCCGTCTCCCACACTCGGAGAATCCCCTGAGTGACCCCCTTCCCTCCCCCACCGGTCCTTGCTGGGCTCTGACAGAAAAGCCTGTAAACGCAGTCCCGACCTAAGGGCCAGCTGCCCTTTCCCCCCAGGGTGTAGGTGTGCACCCTCCAACCCTCATGTGGCCAGGCCTGCCTGCCCGCTAGACCGAGGTCACCGAGGGGGCCAGGGTTTCGCGCTGCCCAGAGACAGATCAGCCGCTGTCACACGCACAGTGGGTCCGGAGCAGCGCAGTGTGCGGTGGGCAGTGGCTGCCCTGCGCCTGGAGGGACAGTCCAGCGGGCGGGCCAGTGGAGGGGTCGCCCCCCGCCCCCTCCAACTTGGGCATCCTAGCCACGCTGCCTCTGCCTTGCCCAATACCCAAATTCCCCAGGGGAGGGCAGCCTCCGAGGTGAGCCCCGCCCGCCAGCCTGGGACCCCCCGTGCGTCACCTGAGACCCCGGCACTGGGCSATCGCGGACTCTCTACCAACTTCAGCGGCAGCCACAGCTACCCTCGAGCCCCCGGCGGAGCCCCGCCGGGGCCCCGCCGCCCCGCCCCATATGCAAAACACCTATCCTATAGCCAATGGTCGGCCAGGCCGGGCCCGCCCTGCCGCGCCACAGCCAGTGGGCGCCAGGGGGGCGCAGCGCGCCCCGCCCACCGCCGCGCGGTCCTCCGGGGGCGAGGCCGGCGCGTTCTTTTCTGCACGTCGGCCTGGGGAGGGGCTGCCACCTGCCAGGCGGGGCGTCGCGGGGTGGCCTGGTCGGGAGGCATCCCCCGCTGGCAGGACGCGTGGTACGGCCCAGGCGGTCCCCCTCCCGCACGCGTTGGTACAGCCCGGGTTCTCCTGGCGTCTGGGCCCCGGGCTGGGGGCGCTGCCTGTTGTTTCTGTCTTCCGCCCGCCCAATGCGGTGGATAGTGGGGCAAGGAGGGCCCCTTGTGGAGGGACCTCCTGCAAGCCAGAGGCTGTCCCCGTCACACACACCCCGTGCAGTATTACTGCCTGGCCGATTCGGGGCTCTCCCCGTCAGAGGTCCACCCCTCTCGGAGAACCCAGAGCGTACCTAGCCTGGGCTGTGACCCGGGAGGCGCCTGGACGCGCCCTGACTCGGCGCCCTCAGAACGCTTGTCCCGCCTGAGCCGCCCTTTGCCGACTCCTGGGAGGCCTGGGAGCCCCCAAGGACAAGCAATTCAGTCTGCCTTCCAGGAAGGAGCGCCAKCTCTGTCTGGTCTGGTTTTTCAGATGACCCCCGACAGGGGCAGTCCCGGGGACTCCGGGTCCCTCCCGTGGGATCTATCCACAAGGAAACCTCCAGAAGAGTCCTAGCCTGGAGGGGACATCTCGAGGGGTGCTGGGCTCTCAGTGGGCTTTTTCCTGTCTTTTCCAGGGACCCAGAAGAGTACTTGCTGGGCACTCAAAAGGTCTAAGGGAGCAGACTGTCACCTACCCAAAGACACACAGGGCCAGCTGCTGCAGCAGAGCCCCAAGGTAGCGGCCAAAAGAGACTTGGCCCTTCTCTGCTCAGTCCGCTCCCTACCATGGCCTAGGTGGTTCTTGAGGTGGAATCATGGGCTACCCAGGACCCCTGATCTAGCAGGCAGATGCCTGCTCTACTTTTGCTCCTAAGGCAGGGGTCCTCACAAGCTCTTTGTTTTCCTGTCTCCCTCAACCAAACAGCACCTGCCACACATGCCTCAGAGCCTGGCCCTCCCTGCTGTAGGCTCAGCTAATGCCCCTTTATCCTCATATCACTCAGGTCCTTGACCCAGGGACCAGCCCACTCAGACTCAGCCACCTGCTCCTAAACCCACTGCCCCACTCTTTGTTCTCCCTCCTTCCACTGCCCCCTGCGCAGGCTGGGCTGCAGCCTGTCACCTGCCATCCGAGGAGGTGTCTGACCTAGCCCAGACCTGGGAGCTTGGATAGTGGAGACAAATTTAAGCTTAGTGTGGTGAGGGTGTGATCATTTACAGATGGGAGAAGAGCCAGGGGTCAACTCAGTTCCACTCCATCAAAAATTGAGAGATCATCACCAGGCACCCTAGCATCCACTTATAATCCCAGTGGCTAGAGAGGCTGAGGCAGGAGAATTGTAAATTCAAAGCCAGCCTCAGCAATTTAGTGAGGCCCTGTCTCTAAATAAAATATGAAAAGGGGATGGGGATGTGGCTCAGTGGTAAAGCACCCCTGAGTTAAATCCCCAATACAAAAAAAAAAAAAAAAAAAAAAAAAAACAAAGAAAAAAATTGAGAAATCCACAAGGTTTGGATTACATGAGTCTTAAAGGAACTCCTAGGAACCACTGGGATCCCTGAGGAGGCCCATATCTTCAGAGCAGAACACAAGTTGAGGGAAGAAATCAGGAACTAGAGGACAGGGGAAAATCGAGTRCCTGAYTGCCTCCTTCACTTTACCCCGAGTCCTGCCAACCTAAATGCACCTCCTTTCACCATCCATAGTGGGCTGAATGGTGTCCCCCTAAAAAAGTTATATCCACATCCTGA